CGCAGAAGACGTGGGTTCGATTCCAGGCAGTGGTATGTTCTTTTATTCAATCTTTCTACTAAGCGTTCTCGCAAATTCTCGAACTTTCGTGTCTGATCGAGTTACGAATGTTCTACGCGCCGAACGTCCTCGGCCGAATGTTCCAGAGACCCACGCGGCTACAAAAGGTGCTCCCCGTGGCAAGGCGCACTGAGTCTCGGCCCAGCGTTCGATCCTGCTGCTACGCCGGCATCGACGTCCGTGTAATCTTCTGCTTTCCTTCTTTTTTTTTTTTTTTTTTTGGGGGGGGGGGGGGGGGGGGGCATAACTTCGCCCCATTAAGCGTTTAGTTTGTTTCAGTTTTCGTAACTTCATCATTTTTTATTTGTGACAATAGTTTGTGAGTTTCAAAAGTCGGATTATTTCTTCTTGTATTTATTTGTATATACGATACGATACGAGCTTTATTTTTCACCACAAATACATGTGGTGAATGGGAGGCCGGAGAAAAAGCTGCAGAAATGCAGCTTGATGAGGCTCCGGGCCTCGCATTCAGCAGCTATGACGGACTACATATACCACAGTGGTCGGAAAAGAGAAAATCAAATGAGCAAATTGAATATTTGGCTGTTTGGCAATTACACAATATCTACGTATTTAACAAAATATTCGTTCAGAATAGACGGTAAAATAAAACTTTTTCTTTGTTTTTTAGATTGGTCCTACATTTCGGAATTTTCCAGGGCTGGTGATTTCTTGATGAATAAAAATCGCTTTTTTCTTTTAAATCAGACAGTTGAAGAATTATATTTCAGCGTCCTAATTCCGCATATTTATACGCCATCGCTAAACGATAGTTATAGATTTGGGGTATATTGTCACAAATGACAATTGTTGAGGCGATAATATCTGAAGAAACTAAACGTTTAGTGGGGCGAACGTGTGCCCAAAAATAAAAAGGGAACAGAAGAAAGCAGAGCGTCGCGGGCGTCGAAGTCGGCGTGGCAGCAGAGTCGAAAGCTGGGGCGAAAATGACCCCGGCTTGCCACGCGGAGCCGCTTTTGTACAGGCGTGGGCTCCTGGAGCATTCCGCGTAGAAGGTTCGGCGCGTAGAAAATTCTAACCTCAAATCAGCCAGGACGATTCTCGAATTTACCAGAACATCACATTACAGTGTCAACAAAAATATGTAGCCGCGGCCAGGAATCGAACCCTGGCCTTCAGCGTGGAAGGCAAGCGCGATAACCGTTAGGCCACGGGCACGCTGCCTATTCGGTCAACTGCGCTCGCGGCATTATTCCCTCCTTTAAAAAGTGCATCAACGAACACAAAAATAAATCACATCCACAACAAAAGGACAGCAGAATCGCGAGCCGCAGTTCACAGCACACTCGTCGACGACAGTGCAAAGTTCTATCGTTCGTAATACGGCTTCAGCCGGACGACGTGCACCGCCTCGGGTCGCTGTTGACGTCTTGCGGATGGGCGCGTTCTGTCGGGAAGGGCTTCGTAGTTCAGATCGCCGAGGCATCGGAGGATCCTGTAGGGTCCAATATAGCGTTTCAGAAGCTTCTCGCTGAGACCGCGGCGCCGTATTGGTGTCCAAACCCATACCCGGTCTCAGGGTTGAAAGTGGACGTCCCGGCGACGAAAGTTATACGGCGTGCATCGACTCGCTGTTGGTCTTGAATCTTGACTATTGCCAGTTGACGAGCTTCCTCCGCGCGCTGGGAGATCAGTTGAGTGTCGTCGTTGCCATCATCGGTTGGCACGTGAGGCAGCATGGCGTCGAGTATCGTGGTAACCGCCCGGCCGTGTACCAGGTGAAACGGCGTCACTCCCGTGGTTTCTTGAACCACTGTGTTGTACGCGAACGTAACGTACGGCAACACCTCGTCCCACGCCTTGTGCCGCACGTCGACGTACATGAAGATCATGTCAGCGATCGTCTTGTTGAGCCGCTCCGTTAGCCCGTTGGTCTGCGGATGATAAGCGGTGGTTCGTCGGTGGTTGGTGTGACTGAGCCGAAAAACCTCTTGAGTCAGGTATGCCATGAACGATGATCCTCAATCTGTGATCAACACCTCAAATGCGCCGTGTCGAAGGAGGATGGACTCCACGAAAAACCTGGCGAATTCCAGCGCTGTTCCCGATGGCAGGGCTTTCGTCTCGGCGTATCGTGTAAGAATCGGTCGCGACGATAATCCACCGGTTTCCTTGCGTCGATGTTGGGAACGAACCCAAGTAAATCCATTCCGACCTGCTGGAAGGGCGTAGTCGGGGCAGCTATCGGCTGCAGGAGTCCTGCTGGCTTCATCGGAGGCCTCTTGCGTCGTTGTCACTCATGGCACTTCCGTGTGGACAGATAGGCTGTTTTAGGGAGTCTCAGCCAGTAGTACTTGTCACGAATCCGGACGAGCGTCCTGCTGTAGCCAAGGTGTCCAGCCGTCGGGTCGCCGTGCCATGCTTGAAAGATTTCTTCTCGCAGGCTGGCCGGAACAACCAGCAGCCAGTCAGGGTTGCTTGTTCCGAAGTTGTTCTTGAAGAGCACGCCTCGCCGCAGAACCAAGCTTGACAAGTCTCGGGCCAAGACTCGCGGAACGGAAGTTCCTTGACCTTCGAGGCGGTCGATGGCAACCATGACAGCATAAGGCTGTCATGACTGCCGACACATTACCTGCAGAGTTTGTAGATTTGGTGCTCAGAAAAGACGAACTCCTGCACCGCAGCAAACATAAGAGCCTTCCAGTTTCACGGCGTCGTTTCAGGAACTGGTTGAGCGCGAGGAGGTGTTCAATGACTGCGAATTGCTTGCGCGCTTCTGCTTTACGAAAGCGACGGTGGCCAGTTTCCTTAAGTCCCTGTCGCTCTAGGAGTGAGAGAACGATCGTGGTCTGCCGGTCCCCCCAATGCTCCAGCTCTTGATCCGATGCAATTCTAATCCGCTGGTGCATTCAGATGCACGGTAACTAGTGACCTGGTAAACGCTTCGCAACCCACAGTGTGCCGGGTCACTGGGCGATTGTCGCGGCTCATCGCCAGCACGTTGGGCCACCGCCTTGTGAATGTCTCGGATATCATGGCGGACCTGTGCATTGTGATATGAGACTTCTATTAGCTCAACATTTGAAGTTAGATTCCTTCGTTTACACTCCATAAATGAAACGGGTTAGAGAGGTGAATTCGTCTTTTTGGTCAAATCCCATTCTCACAGTAGCGTTTGACCGCATGACTAGTTCGGTCAAGAGTGACCGTCGTACGAGCCCTGCCATAACGAACGCATTAGCAATCAATTTTGTGAGAGCTTCCTTTGAGGTACGTTTTGTCAGGCAACAGGGAATTCCTGCCCAGGCATCGCAGCCCATTCAAGGAGTAGCTGTGCAGGCGACACACAAATCATGAATGTCCTGGCAACTCGCTGTCATATATACCCATTATTTTTATCTCACCTGAACTACTGTCATCTGGCCTGGGGTACCACCACAAAAACTAATCTGCAAAAACTATTTTTACTGCAGAAAAGTGTGCTAAGGATCGTAGGCAACGTGCCATATAATTTTCATACTAACCAAATGTTTGTTGGGCTGGGTGCTCTGAATGTATTTCAGTACTATAATTTTAGACTGTGTGTCAAATATGAACAGGAATATAGAGATATAAACAGCTTTTTCATACGCTTAGCATCCCTCAGAATCAAACCTATAACATATTGCACTCGCCATTCCGATTTCTGAGTAGTAGATGCATCTCCTACTAACTATGGTTTACAAATGATCAAAAAAAAACAAACAATGCCAACGTTTCTGAACAAAATAATCCGGTATAATTTTGATATAGACTTTTGTAGGATGTGTGATATAATGAGACATTTTCTATCAAAGTAATTATGTGATTACATTGACTCCCTCGTGGGCGTTTTTATTTTTTGTGTGCTCTTTGCTTTGATATTAGGAGATATTTTTCTATCAAAGTAATTATCTAATTACACTGATTCCCTCGTAGGTGTTTTCCGTTTGCTCTCGGCCTTTATTGACTTTTTTTTTTCTTTGACATAATTTATTTTTTGCTTTTGCAACCGCTCTGTACCTGTGAGGGGGCTGAGGACCAGTCAAGCTGCTTAGACAGCGTTTTTACTCAACTCCCACCATATATATATGGTAAATAAAGCTATTTATACTATTATTATTATTATTTTTATATTATATTCGCCTGTAATGTTAAGACGTCTTCCGCTACCATACGGATGCCATTCGTAGGGATTTCAAGTTTTTGGTTATTAACTTATTACTCGGACAATTTAGTTCAGTGACAATATTAGAAGCTTAATGCACGTTTTTCGGCCACCTCTGTGAAAAAAAAAATAAATAAATAAATAAAAATGTACCTACGTTGAGGAATCGATTTCAGCGGTTAATTCAAACAGTCATCGATCCCTTTGCTTTTCGCTATGCGGAGCGGAAGCTCGCTTCCTTTTTGCACAGGGGTTACGATGATGTAAAAACGCCGAGCTTTTATTGACAGATTAAGAAACCAAGTAGTGGGCAGAAACCAAAGAATCTAGCATTCAATTCTACCTGCCATCCTTTCCATGAAACCCAATTAGAGCACCACGCCGTACTGACGACACCGCGACTCCTGTACAAGAAGCAGATGATTTGCGAATTGCTTTTCGTTTAACGTCCCGGCATGCACAATATATTGGCTTCTACAAGCGTTCCTCAGCGTCTCTCCAAGCCCACCGACAAAGTGTTTGAGAGTAGTAAAAAATATTGGTGATCAACAAAATACCACTGCAACCCGAGCCGAAGCGTTATATAACAGGTTTACTATAATTTTTAGTCTCGCATTTTTCTAATCTTAGTGTTTGTTTTATCACAAACCCAAATATTGGTGGCGAGAATGGCGAAGCACGACAGAAAACCGACCCAAAGCTACTCGATTTTGCTTGCCCTCAAGCCTCGAAAGCTACAGGTGTATTTGTCGGAGGCCCTGTTGCGGAGAAGGTCCCGTAATCCAGTAATATGGGTTACACGAAAAAAAAAGATATATATATTTTCTTTTCTCTAAATAATTTTTTACTCCTTGTAAACTCCAAGAAGCACATCAATATTAAAAAAAGTTGATACAGTTGTGAATTTTTCAGCTTGCGGACGGAGTTACACAGACGAGTTCGCGTCCCTCAACATAATCGGAGGAACGCGCGCTTTCAAAGGGGAATTCCCATGGCAGGTAAGACTGCTATATTTAATCTTTTCACGAACTCAAAGAGGTATTTTATTTACAATAATCGCTGATAAAAAAAGACAACAAAGAATTTAAAAAAAATCTCGCTCTGAGCATGCGCTTTATGCCTTCCGCTGTGATTGAGTTCCGACCGCGTGCTCGAAGTGCAGAAGTCGCCGAGGCATTGTCGAAAGTAGAGCGCTCGCACTGGATGCGGTAAAGATGAAGCTCCTTCCTGCCGTCCGCACCTTATCAGTGACTAAATAGCACCAGTGTTAATTTTCCTAGGCTGTAATCTCTTAAGATTCCGTTAGAGGCGCTCTCGCGTGGTCTTTGCGTAAAGGCTCCGTTGTCGCCCTCTGCAATATTTTTTTCTAAAAGGTATTCAGCAGGGATCAAAACCAAAAGTTCCAATTAAGAGGGGGAACAATAGTTTATGTTGTCATTATTATATATGTATTCTTCGCCCCCCCCCCCCTTCTTTTCCGTGCACGGCGGGATTCACACAAACACGCCCATGAACTTCCATAACGCGATCGAAATGAAAACACAGCTCACTAGGATCATACTGGATCAGTTATGCCTGTCTTGACTCGAATAAATATCTACAAAGTGTGAACAAAAAACAAACATAATTTCTGCCCTACAAAAGACAGCATTTAAGGGGTCACTGGAAACCCCAACATTCTTCTGTTTTTGGTTGAAAACGGAGAAAAAAATTGCCAGGGATCGCCTAAAACATAGCTAGAACACGGCGCATGAGCAAAGACCCATTTTTTTCGAAAAATCTTTTTTGTAACTTTCGCCAGATCCTGTCAGGTTGATGGCGAAATGATGCACTTACGGCATTTTTATATTACTTCAAAGCGAAAAGGTTATTTAGCTTCCTTTCATTATTTCTCTCTAAACTCAGCATTTCCTGGAGCTCGTGTTTGCCAACCGGCCGTTCGCGCACGTATTTCGCTCTGCCCTTGCTACCTGTGCTTTCTCTGGGTGCAGATGACGTGTCACTTTTTTGTTGCATTTAGTTTTTGTTAGCCATGCTCTAATTAGTGACTTTGAAACGAATTGTAAAAATGTAAAGAGGCGAATAATGTCTTGGTAACCTGGCTGATGGACGCGAAGCATAACCATAACTTTGTGACCCCTTGACTATTGCTCTCTCGAATTCCGAGAGATTATTTGGCATAAAAAAAAGACCTCGTCACAGACTTCGCCTGCTGCCCTATCGTCCCGATCTGTTTCAACTTCTTCAGCACAGCCGCCGGGCACCGCCACGTAAAGAATAAAAAAAAAAGAATAGGAGGGGACCGATGTCTTGTCACCTAAACTTTGAGCTTGAGTTTCTTTATATTTCTATGTGAGCATCATGGCGCGTTTATCTTCGTCGTAAAAAATATACTTGATAAAATTCCTTAATAAATGTTGGAGGAATGCAACCTGCGACAATTCTAAACTTCTGAAAAAATGTCTTCACCTGCTACGTAATCGCAAACCTGAAGCGAGGAGGAGCACGCCTTGGTGGTAGGAGAGGGCGAAAATTTTGACCGGGTGTTTTGCAGGAAGGATTTTTTTATTCGCGATGCAATTTTGTTATGGTTATATCAGACGCCCCTGGAGCGTTAGAGACCATAACAAATATTGATGTTGAGGTTGTCAGTGGCCCTTCAAATGATGGACAAACGCTGCTTGTAATGTTGCCTTCATACCGTCGTGATTTCGGACAGTCCAGATGTCAGGATGTCAGGACAACAGGCGTATTGGGGAAAAATAATTTTAAAATTGCTTTGGGAAAAACTATATATATTTATGCAGAATAAAATTTATGTTAATAGTCGGATCAGTAACTCGAGTCTATAGTGGCACTGTATTGGGCGCAGGCAAACGGACATATGCAAGGCTCGACGGTGTATATGTCCGTTAGCTGGCAGACAGGACAAAATAAGTAGTGTAACTTCATTCTTTCACGCTAATTCAAGAACAAAACAAATGACTGTGCTGTGTTCCTGAATGACGCATACCAAAAAGCAGGGTATTAGCCATTCTGCGGAATATGCTGATATACAACAGTTTACGAAATAGTAGGAGGAAGTGTACTGAGCAGAAGAGATAAGGAGTATCGCAACATAGGCCTTTGGCATTGCCCAGGGAGCGTGCGAAAAGGGACTTGCTAGGACTTGTTTTAGGTAGTACAAACTTAAACTTCTCAAACTCTCACACAAGTAGAAGCGTGATTGCTCTGGCGGGGACCGCCATCACGAGGAAAAAACAAAGAAATAACAAAATAATCGAACCCCGTCGGAGCATAGGCGAAAGCGAAGGTTCTAACAGCGTGAGTTAAAAAAAGGCTGTTTCACGTGTTCCAACAAAAAAAAAAAAAAAAAAAATAAGAGAGAGAATACGGTAACAAAATTGTGAGCCATTCCACTTTGTGAAGGTGGATTACCAGCGATATCGTTTAGCACACGGCACAGACGTGACACAGCATTTTGAACAAAGGTACGAGCACATTTATGCACGATCTCCCTCGGTGGTGTTTGCCCCCCGCCGCCGCCGCTGACATTCTCGTTGCCGTTCCCGCCGTTGCTCTTTGTAGGCGCGATGCTCTTCGGGAGACCGGACTACACGCGGCCCCCGCATTACGACGGGAGAAGAGAAGTGAAATTGAAAATGGAGAACGGAAACTTGCCCTCCTGGTTTTTTTATATACATTCGTGTAGACAACTGTCGCCGCCCCGAGGAGCCGGAGGTAACTAGACATGCCGGGCGGGACCGCCACCCGACGGAAAGTAGACACGCGCGACGGGAACGAAACTCGGGAAGAGCGGAAGGAAACTAGGCACGCAAGCGCTTGAAACGACGAGAAATAGAGGGCGCTGCGAGTTGTTGTTGACGCACATGAAAAATCCACGGAACCCTAGCCATATACAGCTTCGCTGCAAAAAGCGCCGGCATGCCACATGTTCCACGTAACCATACATATATGAGACGCGTACCTTGTCGGTGGTGCTATAAATAGAATATTTTAGATTGTCTCGAGGTGTTGAATCCACCTGATATTGGACGTCGAAAGATGCATTTAGCGTTCTTCAGCACTACAGAAAAAGAAAAAAAACAAAAACTCAGCAAAGGCGCTACAAGTAGTGCAAGGCCCAATAGGTGAGTTTGTACTACCCGAAATGAGGGCGCCAGTTTTTTAATGCCTCAACTACACTTCAGCACAGGAAGCCTGTGGTACAGCCACCGCTTATGTGCTCTCTGGATATTTATGAGCGTTTTTATGCAAAACGTAAATGTAATAATTGGAAAAAAATTACCCCGCAAATATCCAGGAATACGTCAATCAAAGTGTACCCATGTTTCAATGCCAATAAAGACAGTACGGAAGAAATTTTCACCTTGTTACATTCAAATAGCCGAAATTTCTCTTAGAAGACCGTTTAATCTACATGAGATAAGAAAGTCGTGCCATGCGAAGGTTTCATTTCTATTCGCAGGTGTCTGTCCGCAACCTTGATCCTTCCGGGAGATTCACGCGCCATTTCTGCGGTGGAGCGTTGCTCAACGACCGCTGGGTTCTCACTGCTGGCCACTGCGTAGTCGAGTAAGTCCCACTTCTTTCCTGCGAATGAAGTGAACAAACACGAAAGCAGCAGATACCTGCATGTATTGTACAAAAATCTGGTTGACTATTTCAAGTTTCCTCAGATGTAAAGTCGAATACTAGATGTGATTTGTGAAAACAGGTAAAATTATCTTCCTTACCGAATGTTAGTTCTCTTCCATTGCGTAATTGTTGCCGGAATTTATGATTACATAAAAAAATATCAACGAAAAGGTAAAATTTTTTTACGAATACTTCAATAGATTCGAAACGCACTATGAACAAAACATCCCTTGCCAAAGACACTGATGCTGCTATATATCATTTACAATAAATGGTCGTGCTCCTCAATATCTGATACTTCCAAAGAATCAATAGAGTCAATTTTGCACGTAAAATACGTTGGTTAATTTATTTTGATAGAAGTTTCGACGAAAATAAGTAAATTACTTTGATTGTAAAGTTTGAATTAGCGATTTTATTTTTGTGAAGCGCTTGGTGTTTTTAGTTTGCTGGCACCACTTCCCAAAATTATGACACTATTTCAGCAAAAAATGTCTGAAAATTGTGTTTGCCAAAAAAAAAAAAGAACGAATTTTTCTTCTCATTGCTGAAAATTATCAACGTAATCCCAAACGCTCCGTTCCTTCCCAAATCCCAAATTGACAAAATGCCGGAGGTTCATAATAAAGCGTATCCAATTATAAATTTATATTCGGTTTTGTAAGAGTTTAGAGAAGAAAATGGTGACCATGAACATTCGCGAATTTTTGCAAATGTATGACATCTGTTATTGTGAACGGACTGCATTTTCTAACTGAAATGTTTTTTGTTTGCTATTTAAATTGTTTATAATTATTGTGCTGATAATTCTGAAAATATGGCGTTCAACCTCTACCGCTCGCGGTACGTTTAGTCGGAGGACGAGCGTTCGGCAAACTGTAGTTTATAATAATTTTTTTAGATAAAATCGGAATTTTTGTTTGCCTCGAAACACCCGGCATGCAATTTGTTTTACTCTTTGGGGTGTAGTAAGCTTTTACAACGCTTATTATAAAGGAAGGCTCGAAAACAGAGGCGTGTCTGCTTCTAATAAAAACTCAGAAAGTCCTCTCTAGTTCCACTCAGCTATCAGAGACACAGCCTTCGATTGATTAGGCTTTTATTATTTTTTGCCTTTTGGAATAATTTACGGATTAATCGCCCTTTACAATCCAATGGCCAAAATATCTTAGAAGATAGCTCTTTATCTGCTTAGAACTGCCAAATATTAGAGTAGTAACGACAGCAACAACCACTATTTCAAAACCGCATCTCCACACTGATGTTTATGACTGCAAAATGGCGCTCCTGAAATTTTAGAGTAATTTCCTGTGCGCGCAGCAGGTAAGCTGGTCCTCAGGTTTCCATTCTACGTTTGCAGTCCAGATTGGTGATAATCCTGTATAGACCTCCCTTGGAAAAACAAACGCGGGAACCCCCCCTCCCGTGTTACAAGGCAACACACGCAGAATTAAACTCTCGCCGTGTAGTACGACACGCCTTTTAATGTTGCGCAAACACAACCAAAAAGTTAACAGCCATTGAGACGGTCATCTGTCGATGCATTATCCTGACTGCAGATGAAATTCTGTGATCACTCCATGCACTATTATCAGCAGTCCGGAGCATAGATGTGTAAGATAAATTTTAGGGGGAGACCTAATCGAAAGTTACGGCTATGAATGTGCCAGCGTCGCTTCAAATAATATGGCGGAAAAAAAAACAGTTCTTGCGAGCTGCAGCGGGGTACCGGATTGGTTGAGCGGTGGGATATCGCGCTGCTGAGCATATATTCTCGCGTATTTCTGAGGATTACACGGTTGAAGTTAGCGCATCGTGTTGTCTCGTTTCTCCCTCTTGCCCGTGTCAATAAAAGAGATCACGTTTTCAAAGATTCAACACAAACTCGCATAACAGTAAGCATTGATATATGAAACACAATATTTATTCGTTTAAAAGTAGATTTGGATCGTTTAAATGAGGCTTATTTTATGTAAATGAAATCAGACACCCTTGTACGCCGTCTCACCATACGTCCGAGAGCGTACACGTACAAACGCAGAGACACAGACCACAATAGCGAGGTTATGGAGCATTGGCTCTGGTGATAAACTAAGCCGTTGACACTGCGCCTACATCGAGACTACGACGAGCTCACTCAAGCAACGTTTTTAGCAATGCTTCATTTGCCCCATACAGAAGGCTGCGTTCGGATTTATTGCGACACGATGTATCACATTGTATCATGATTTTACCTCTCATTTGTTTAAAGTGAAAGCAACACGAGGAGTTGCTTCAATGTACCCCAAGATTAAGAAATAATCCGTAAAAAAAGTGTCAAGTCGTAAATGTAGTGTCCTTCAATCTGAACGTTGGGAATTGGTAGCCCAAACATTTATTTTTACGGCATTTTAGAACTCAATTGATAGCAGCAGCAGAACTTCTTTCCAGGGCAGGGTTAGGGAAATAAAAGCTTCACCACGTGGCTCGGCCGGTAGGCGAAGCAATCGCATAAAAAGAATTGTTTGGCAGATTGCCCCGCAATTGTGTAGCTGCGTGAAACGTTCGTGGTTTAGCGTTAGTAACCTCCAGTATTTAGTCTCTACCCCATTGACTTCTCTCCTCACCATTGACCCATTGACTTTCCCCACCAGGTCGGCCTGTGTCCGCATAGCATGGAAAGAATGACGGGTAGTGGGGAAACTGAATTTATATGTAGGACATGTGACGTCAAATGTCGTGGAATAACTAGCGGAGAAAATGAATTTGTATATAGCTCACTTGACATGAAAGCATGTAACATCGATTTCCTCGCAAAGTTTAGCGGGAAACTGTATTTGTGTCGAGGTTACGCAACGTAAATTTTCCCGCTAAATATAGCGGGGAAACTGAATTGGTGTATAGGTCACGTGACGTCATTGTGGCGACGCGTGACGTCACAGGCCACGGCTTCGGAAAATCCGGAGCAAGCAGCCAGAGAACGTTTCGCATTAAAATTTGACATAGCCAGACAATGTCGTATTGGCTTGAAGTTTAGTGAGCGCTGCCCTTCTATCTCATTCAAGCATTTTTATACGATGAATAGAATAGATGAATATGAACAGCTTCGAACTATAAAGGTGCCGCAACATTATTTCTGTATTAAATGTTGTTAATAAGCATATTTGAGCTCCATTTAGCTCATAAAATAATATTACACCCAATTCATCAACATATTAATAGTATTTGGGCAACTTGATTAAAATATTAAACGGCATCTACATGTTCTGTACTTCTAAACTCGAGGATAAAGAGTACCATAAAAACGTTCCCCGCAACAGTGCACTTTAATTCTGAGATGCTGCTGGCCAGGGAAGTATGAGGAAAGGGCGACTTCCGATTGCCGCTGATCACAAATTGAGTATCCAGAATTACGTGTAGATATATTTACACTTTTCTCAGAAATCCCAGTCCGCAAATGCAGCTACAGAGTTCTGTCAACAAACGCTCGCCACTCCGGTTACCTATAAAATGATTGAGTGAAGCACCCAAGCAAAGTAATAAAGGCGCCCTGAGACGCTTTTACGAAAAGGGGTACACTTTCAACAAAAGGGTTGTCGTAGGGTACTACACCTGGGGTAGTCAGAAGCCGTCACAGATATCGCTACCCCCCTTCGTTATACTAACAACCCCATGGGCAGTCACACGGCACGCAATCAGCAGGTAATCACAGTGAGCACCCCCAAAAGCAACATGGCGGCTGGCAAGCGACAGTGGAGCAATACGAGTAAGGCCTAGCGAGCTGGACTGCTTTTTGCTAAAATACGACTCTCAAGTGCGTACGCCCGTTTGCTGCCTTCCGTGCGCACAAAGCACTCCGAAACGCGTTTTGAAGCACCGGCACCGCACCTAATACGAGTAGAGGCGACGATGTGAGGGGGGGGGGGGGGCGCATTCGGGGGGGTTTGTCCGCGACTGCTTTCGCGAGGCCGGCTGCATTTACTTCGCGGCCAGAAAACATTTAAAGAAGGAAACAAAATAGCGACAAATGGAATGATGTCTTTATTGAACAGAGCATCTGCTTGCTGTGCTTGCCGCAAGTGATCTGGCGTTTTCGGTTGACGGCGGCGAGGCGAAGCATCACCGATTTAAGCGGCGTCGGTTCCGATCGTTCAACGCTCCTGCTCACCTGTTAGCATCCGTTATCCACTTTCAAGTCCCTGGTAATCCTCACCGCGTCTGTGCACGCACTTGGCGCTATTCACCGCACGGAACACCCATTCAACTGGCTATGGGACTGATCCCATTTGGACGAGAGGCCGAGAACCGAACCAGACCGAACCCTTTGTGGCTGCTACGTGGAACCCTGGAACGTCTCCATGTTTTTCACTCAAATAAGTAGACACATCAACGCGCGACTCCTTGAGCTGGGCGGCGACACGCGCCACCTAACCGACAGCGCTCAAACTAAAGAAAAAAAGAAACCAGCAATTCTTGCTTTGAGCGCCTTGCCAGACAATGCCTTATGAACATAACCACGCCTCACTTCACTCATACGCGACATACAGACATCACAGCATTTTACACATCAACGCATTCAGAAACAGCACAAGATACAACATCACATATCGACACTCTACATTCCTATACGCACGTCTAGTCGACACCACCAGCTTATATACTGCTGTATTTTATGTGACCGATTAGGATGGTGACCACTGTCATATTTTGGATAAATACGAAAAGACTGTGCAAGATTTAGCCGTATATATTCTTTTCCTCTTCTGCCCTTAGGAAGGCGCTCGTATCTCTAATGTAGGGCCATTGCAAAAGTGAACTGCAGGTTATAAATAAATTTGAATAGTTGCTACACGTCACATTTCGAACAGTTTCGTTTTCTCGCTTGCCTACACTTCAAGTATACAGAAGCCTGTTTAATTAATTGTATTAGTTATCGAAACCAATTTCTGCAATCACAACTTTCTGAACACACTGATGCATTTTCTTTTCTCTTTTCACATATCCAGACTGACTTTAGCGGCGGTTGGGTACACGTTGAGTACACTGAGCACGCGCAGGTGATTTTAGCGAAGCCCGTCCGCCGGTCCTCCCCGAAGCGTTATTTCAGTTTTCTTCTTTTCGCTAAATATCCGTTCTATGCGCTCGCGCTCGCGCCAAGAGGACAGTGCAGAATTGCTGCTTTCGGGCCCGTGCCTTCACCTGCAACGAACGCAAAATACGTATGCTAAATTATCTAAACCCTGGTTCAGACAGTAGTGTTTGACTGCGTGAGTCTGACTGCGTCGCGGCAGCAAGAAATCAGGACATCCCCGCTGCTTATATCGCGTGCCAAGATGATTCCTTGAATTGGATTCCACGCTTGATACGAAGCACAGACGTGCCGGTGAGTGGCTTTTGGTTCTCGACGGAACGCTGTCAAACGCTAGTGTCTGAACCGGCCTTGTTTGAAGCATTTTTTTATCGAGTATGCTCGATGAAATGTGCCAAATGAACCAGAGAAGGGGAATCATGTACCTCGAGACAGAGAAATAGTGAAATACACGGACATGATCCCAGATATCTGTGTACGTTCGTCCTGTCCGGCCTCAGTCGTGGTGTTCAATGCTTCATACTTCAGTGCACTTGAAAGCAAAAAAATTGGGTACGACAGGCGCGCAAGTTCGGCGGAAGCGAGGAGGCCAGTTGCAACTGATCTGCACGCAGAACTGACCGATCACACCTTTATTGAGAGCACGCTCTTTACTGAACCGCACAATAAAGACGACGAGAGTATCTCGTCCGGCGAAGATTCAAGTCAACTCACGCCTGTGCGTAGCGTCCTGTGCTTTTCTAGAGATTTGGTTAAATTCCTCGAGCACGACGCCAGCTGCCAGCTGTTTAATGCTGTACATGGTAAAACCCGCGACGGAACCAAAAAGGACAACCGGGATGCTTTTTATCTGCCACGGGTTTCAGCAGGTGCCTACCAAGGTTGCCTGTACTTGTTTGTTTTCTGCCAGTTTAGGCGAACTGAGCCACACGCTTGTTTCGACCGGTTCAAATTTGAATAAATGATAACCAACGCACAAAGAAAACAAGTTTCAAGTACTTTTTGAGATTTTTGAAGTGACTTTTACTATTGAACGACTGCACGCACTTGAATGTTCAATTCAAGAGTTTATAAAACGTGACTACCCCATGCTTGTCGCCTGCCAACAGGGTGCTAACTCTCAATGGCTCGAGCCCAGTGGGTAGTTAAAGGGCAACTCCACTCAAAAAGTCGACCATATCGAAACGACTGATATCTCTTTAGGAGGTCAAAATACGGTCATACCCAAAATATTACGACAAACCGACGCCGCGTTACCGATTAAAACCAATATTAAAAATGTTCTCCCGGCTCGGTTAGCGGCCCGAAAGCGGGTGAGCAACGCTGGCACCGAGTGAGCTAGTGAAGCAACACAGGGCAATGACGTAGTTCTAGTCCTACGCTGTCGTACGGACGCCGCGAGCGCTTCGTTTTCCATGGCATTCTGCGATTCTGCTGACGGCACGAGGTGTTTACCACGTTATTTTGTGTTTCCTTATTTTTATTAGCCTCCAGGCAGTTCCTTAATCTCCAGCATTGCTTCCGCGACAGCGCGGAAGAGAGCGAAGCGGTGCCGCTCGCTCACGCGCGCGTCGTGGAACCGGAGAGACTCGCCGGACTCGCGTTGGGCAATGTCGAGCAGGATTTGTAGTGCTCTGGGTTGCACCAACAACCCGGTGCGCAACCCGGAGCTGCGGTTCCACCAGTTCCCAAGAGACCGGAAGAGGCACAAGGTGTGGGTCGGTGCCGTTTGCCGGATAGACTTCGGAAGACCGTTGACTCTGAGCTCCAACGCGAAGCTCTGCTCCCAGCACTTTACGTCAGACACCTACACACGGGATCTGCGGCTGCTGACTGTTGCGGGTTTCTGCACGAAACAGGCGTCTTTGAAGAACGATGCGGTGCCGTCGCTGTTCGCGTACCGTCCGCCGGCTGCTCCATCACGATCGGCCGGACGCAGCAGGTCGCGGCTGATCTAACTAGTGTTCACATAAAGGCACCTTAGCTTAGCAACGTAGACCACTTGTGGATATATCTGTCCATCTATCTCCCATTATTTCGTTTTCTCTCGGTCCGCGAGCAAAAAGCAAATACAGTCACGCTGCGCCGGCACCGACCGCGTCATATTTATAGCAGTCGGATTCGCTTTTCGGCCGGCAAATTTATAAATACACACTAAAACTTACTACATTTGGTGCATATTAACATAGTGAAGCGGTAAAAAAAGAAAATGTGCATCTAACCTTCTGTTTTGAAACTCCACGTGCGATTGAGCTGACCTTATCGGCGCGTCGGCTCAGAAGCGCGGGACAAGAACTAGGTCATGCCGACGACGCGCCACTAGTATCAGTGTTGCCAAGCTGCTTCAACTGGTAGTTTCGGTTTCGCCGTGCCGCCGGATCAATACTTGGATTCGTGATATCTACAAAACTATACACACTACCGAAAAACAAATTATATCTCGTGATGCAGGGCCGCCGGCTTCGACTAAACAAATCATAACCCAAAATTTATAAAAATGGAGTGGAGTTGCCCTTTAAGTAAGCCTGTGGGGTAGTTACAGCCGTCAAAACGCAGGATGACGAGGGGGGGTGCTCACTTTTTCTTAGAGTCTATACTCATTTGCCGCTTCACTGGCAGGGCTGTTGTACCTACCTACTTTAACCCCCCCCCCCCCCCCGCTTACCTGCTGGAAGGTTGAGCATCATTTTGATATTTCGCACCAATGTGCATATAATTGAAGTTCAATGAAACTTTCTGAGTATATGAATCAAGAATTGGCGTTCGTTCCACCTATGTAAAATCGAACCCAAAAGCCAGCCAGCATACTCAAAGAAATCAATATGAATTGCCAGCGTGGGTCGATGAAGGCTCCGAGTTTTACAGCAGATTTCTTTTGAGTTCAGACATATTAATTGACAGAAGTAACATAAGACGGAAAGGTTACATTCTTTTTAACCAAACGATCGAGATATCCCCAGTGTTCAAGGTAAGTCATCAAGTACTATTTCTGCTGTACTTTTTTTTTTTTTTGCATCCTAACAAATGTATATGGTATTTTGCACGTTAATAAGGTAGGGCGAGAGAAAGGCAGATGACAGAGGAGGAAGCGAACGCAATGGCGGCGTGGAGAGGGGGTTTCCTCCTCCCCTCTCCAGCGTTGGATCCCTACCTTCTTGAGTTGTCACCGACTATACGTGCATCCGCCAAGTCACACAACACGATTCTTGAGGCACACTTAGTCACCGCAAACTCACATACTGTCTATGATTGATTCGCCGTGGACACAAAGTTCCATAACGAAGTTCCACCATTGCAAACAAGCTATTTCAATATGTTACCTTGCTTCTTGTCTTTCTGTGTTTGCGTTTCCCGACAGCTTCTGTAGGGAGGTGCAAAGTTATATTCTTCTAAGCTCAAAAGTTTGACGCACTTTGAAATTCTGAACAAAAGTTCGACGAAGTTCAACCCAGTTTACCCTGAAATTGGAGTGTAAACTACACTAGAGTTTCACTGAGCCAATCATACCACCAACGAATCGTTTTCAAAGCACTAAATGACAGCTCAGCGGTGACCTTGTCCTCTTGCCCCATACCTTTTTCTCGGGCCTTCGCACAGAGCCTCTCCCATGCAAAATTATGTAAGTTTCCCCGAGGTAACCGGCGGGCTAATGGTTACCTGGATTGCAGGCTTTAAATTTAACCGAGGCGCTTTGCTGGACCGTCGTTCATGAACGTAACTCCCCCGATTTTCTTCAGTAAGCAAATGGTCGGGGAAAAGCTCACGCGAACAACGACCCCAATGCACTACGGCAAATGCTTGATCGGCGCTAACACCATTATTATTGGGAACCGGCTATTGTTTAGAACGGCCAATGTCTTCATTTATTCTTCATTTATCGAAGAAGAAAGCACTAACTTGTCCGCAAGAATCATCTTTCTGCGAATATGCCCTTTAGGCAAAACTTCAATACCTAGACAGAAAATTCGAACCTCTCCCTATATATTTCTTAATATCTTTATTTCAGGTTTATTCCTTTCTATTTATTCATTTATTTATAATCCTTGAGAGC